CGCCGCCGCCGCCGCCGAGCCTTACCCGCTGCCCGGGGCCAAACGCAAGTACCAGGAAGACTCGGACCCCGAACGCAGCGACTACGAGGAGCAGCAGCTGCAGAAGGAGGAGGAGGCGCGCAAGGTGAAGAGCGGCATCCGCCAGATGCGCCTCTTCAGCCAGGACGAGTGCGCCAAGATCGAGGCCCGCATCGACGAGGTGGTGTCCCGCGCCGAGAAGGGCCTGTACAACGAGCACACGGTGGACCGGGCTCCACTGCGCAACAAGTACTTCTTCGGCGAGGGCTACACGTATGGCGCCCAGCTGCAGAAGCGCGGGCCGGGCCAGGAGCGCCTCTACCCGCCGGGCGACGTGGACGAGATCCCCGAGTGGGTCCACCAGCTGGTGATCCAGAAGCTGGTAGAGCACCGCGTCATCCCCGAGGGCTTCGTCAACAGCGCCGTCATCAACGACTACCAGCCCGGGGGCTGCATCGTGTCCCACGTGGACCCCATCCACATCTTCGAGCGCCCGATTGTGTCTGTGTCCTTCTTTAGCGACTCCGCGCTCTGCTTCGGCTGCAAGTTCCAGTTCAAGCCTATCCGAGTGTCGGAACCTGTGCTTTCCCTGCCGGTGCGCAGGGGGAGCGTGACTGTGCTCAGGTAACCCACCTGGGAGGAGGGGCGGCCCTGCTGCTGTAACTGCCCACCCTGACCCAGGAGGCAGCGGCCACTAGGCGCCCGCTCTTTAGTTCTGACCCACTCCTGTCTTTCATACTTGTAGTAAGAAAGTAGGGACGGGTCTGGGAACCATCTAGAATTCTGTGTCCGGAGGGTAGGTGTGACGTGATCACGGACTGACTGAGAATTAATCTATAGGCATCTTTCCAGAAGGCTAAGATAATTAGCAATCTCTTTTCCTTTGTGATTTTAGCAAGTTTTTATTCTGGGCCTCCGTTTTCAAGTTTGTGTTTTTTAAAAAATGAGTTGAACTTACCATTTCGAAATCTTCCCAACTGAGCCATTTATGGTTTCCTTAACAGAGAAAGTAAACTATTTATGAATTTCTTAACAGAAAATACAGGGAAGGTCCCCGGAGCATATTTAATTGATACACATTCTCCATTCCCAAGAAGGGCAGTGGCTTCCCTGGAATTAATTGAACAGAGTTGTGGTTGGGCCAGGAATAGAGTGCAGCCCACACTTAAAATTCAGTCCCTTTTGGGTGCAGTAGACCATCGGTCCTTCGTAAGAATGTGTTTACCTGTTACCAGGAATAAATGAAACAAAGCGGGTCTCTACCTGGAATTTGGTCTTATAGTTATGTCAGCAGCAGGACTTAGGTTCTTGGCCTATTTTGGGCCCCAGATTCTGCTGAGAATTAGTCAGTGTCCTGGCCCCCAGAGGAGATTGCCGGCTGGAACACCTTTGCTGTTTATATGAAGCAGAACGTTATCTGGAAGCTGCCTCCTTCAGCCGTGAAACAAGTAAATCTAGCAATGTATTTCAGTAATCCCCAAAACCTCCTAGGAGGTCTAGACTCCAGCTGTTCAGAGAGGCTTGGTTGACCACCAAATTCTAGTAAGCATCAGGACACACTCCAGTTTTGTTGTGAGCAGTTTAACCTCTGAAGTGTAATCAGTGCTGTAGCCCACAGTCATGGGGAGAAGCAGAGTTGGTGGAGCCCTCTGAATATCATGAGCAGGTCATCTAATTTGAGTTGAACAGCTGAGGCTGATTCCATACCTGGGATGGCAGCAGAGCCTTGTGATCCTGAAGGCCTCCTGGTGGGAAATTTGGGGAAGTCAGTGGCAGTAGAAGCAGTACTTTGGCTTCCTTATGTATCAGTTGCCCCTTTGTCAATTGGGCTTCTGGCTTCTCAGACCTATACATGGTGCTCCCAGATGGGTGTCTTAGCAGAGCCCTTTAGGGTGGGATTTCAGGGCACACCCTCCAAGTGGCTTGCTGTGGAAGACAGCTTGGTGTCTGACTTCATTGAAGGGTACTAGATTCTGAGAGGACTTCATACAAGGGCCATTTGGTCTCTTAATGGGATATCAGTTTTCCACATAGTCACAGGGGGTTGTCATCAGAAGGTCTAATAGTAGTCGGTTGTGTATTGAGATCACAAGGGGCAGTTTGTGACTTTGAGAATCCCCCCACCCCTATACACATGCATACCCCTTTATTGAAGAACAGAAGTTTCAGGTTCTGAAAATGCAGGTCTGGGAACACTTTGTAAAGTATATGTTTGTCTGACCGCTATGCTGTACACCTGAAACCAATACAAAATAATACTGAAAGTAAACTGTAATTGAAAGATAAAAATGTTTTTTAAATGCCAGTCTGTTAGTGATTGGCAATGGGATTGCATCATCAGGAAAATTATCTTCATCTTTTCTTCAAAATAGTGAAGTCCTAAAGGTTTCAAGTCCCTTCCCTGGCTGTGGAGTTAGTGTAGGAGGCTCAGCATGTCCTGAAAAGTGCTGCCCCAGGCTTTGAATCCAGCTCTCATTTGGGATCTTGTGGGCAGTCTCTGAGCTTGCTGTCCTATTTGTAAAGCCTAGTAGAATTAAGTGTAGTGATTTTGTGCGTGATATAGGGCCTGGCGCTTAAATGGGTGCTTGCTTTTGTGCACACCCATTTAATGAGTCCCTGCTCTCTCTGGAGAAGCGGATAGGGATTTGATAGAGCCTAAAACATGCCTCTTCCCTTCATGGAATTCACAGACCAGTGGAGACTGCAGACAGTTACAGCCCAGGAAGGCAACTGCAGGAGTGCATTAAATGGGGGGAGAAGGGACATCTTAACCCACTCTGGAGTGTTGGAAGTTTGGGGGAGGAAGTAAGCTGGAACTTGAAGGGTGACTAGGAGTTAGCTAAGCAAACTCTTTTGGCAGCAGTAGCAGGGAATAGGTAAGGGGCATAGGTAGGTGCTAACTTGAGGCAGATGAAGTTTATTATTAGCTCTCACATCCGACCTGGACCTGAAGTAGATTCTGGTGCGGCATGCCTTGGTAAAATAGCAGTACTGTTGACATTTTGGGTGGGCTAATTCTTTGTTGTGCTGGGGCTATCCTGTATATTGTAGAATGTTTAGCAGCATCCCTGGCCTCTATCCACTAGATGCCACTATCACCTATGACAGTACAAAAATGTCTCCAGATATTGCCAAATGTCCCTTGTGGGGCAAAATCATCCTCAGTGGAGAGCCATTGTTCCAGGGTTCTGAACACTCCCACTTATTTAAATCTTATAGCACCTGCCCACTTAGCACTCTCAGCTTACTTGGTATGCAGGTGGGTGAACACCTGCCAGCTTGTGGTTCTTTTCAAATCTTGCTCGGTTCTAGCTCAGCGGTTCTCAACCTGTGGGTCGCGACCCCTTTGGCAGTCGAACGACCCTTTCACTGGGGTCGCCTAAGACCATCCTGCATATCAGATATTTACATGACGATTCATAACAGTAGCAACATTACAGTTATGAAGTAGCAACGAAAATAATTTTATGGTTGGGTCACAACATGAGGAACTGTATTTAAAGGGCCAGAAGGTTGAGAACCACTGTTCTAGCTGGTAAAAAGGTGATGCTTTCTTTCACTTCCTAGTATGTATCCCATCCCAGCGGTGAGAAGTTGTAAGGCTGCCATTGGAAGGGAACGGCTGATGAAGAGTGGTTCTCTGTAGGTGGGGAAGGTTTGTAGTAATTCTCATTTGACTCAGACTTCAGTTGCTGGTGGCAGCGGTGTCTGTACCTGTTCAAGGCAACATGGCGGGAATACACTTTTATATTTAACTAGAGGCCTGGGGTGGGATCCCTCAGACTGGCTTGCGGGGATCGGGCCGAAACCCACTCTCTGACATCCCCCAAGGGGTCCTGGATTGCGAGCGTGGTTCTCGGGTGACGCACCCTGGAATTGGGCTCCCTCCTCTCTGGTTCTGGGTGTTGTGTCACCCGAAAACTGCAGCTGCCAAGTCACCACAGCTCCGCAGCTCCTGCATTGAGCACCTGCCCCCTGGTGGTCAGTGCATGCCATAGCTACCAGTTGGAGCATCTGCCCCCTGGTGGTCAGTGCACGTTCGGACAGTTACTTAGGCTTTTATATATAGAGATAGTTGTCAGCATGGATATTAGTGTGTGGCACACATTGACTCAGCAGTGTCCAACTGTGGGCATAGAGCAAGGCCTCACAGACCCTTCTGGAATAGCTTCAGACTTCTTTCCAAACCCAGTTAGCAGTTGTTTTTTCCCTTTCCCATGTTGGGCTTGGGTGGACCCTCTCTTAATGCTGTTCTCTAGGGAACTAAATATATTTCACCTCCTCTTCATACCACATTCCTCTCCTATTCCTTGAATGGGCAGATTAAAACATATTTCAGTTGGATTAATTAGAATGACTACCTCAGCCTAATTGCTTACTTGCTGCTACTTTTAATCATTGCTGCATGGTCAGTGGTTGTGGTGGCCATGTGCCCGGAGACCCAGGCCTTAGCCATCTGTCTGGAAATGACTATCTCACCCAGCCATGGGATAGGAAGAGGGGAGCTCAGCCTGTGACTTCTAGTAAATAGTTGATAATGGGGTGGAGTGGGCACCCCTGTCAGTTCTGGGCTAAGGGCTGATCTTGTTCAGCGGGTTGAAAGCAAAATTTAGGTTTCTGGCTTAAAATAGTTGGGAAAGTAGGGCATGTAGGTCTGGGCCACATCTCTTGTGTGGAATCTTTCAATTCCATGGGAGGGGAAGGAACCTCAGGATCAAGTCAGGGCTGTGCATTCTTAGGAGGCACTCTGGGCCAGGGGAGTTGGCTGACGTTGGTTCTGCCAGGCCTGACAAGAAGGCAGAGGGCAGTGAAGGAAAGGAAGCTAGTAGGCAAGCCATGGTCTTAATCTTGGAGCTCAGAGCAAGCAGAAAATAAATAGGCCATAAAAATTGCAGGGTTGGATGGGCATTTTCAGCTGGGCAGTTGTGTGCAACTGTTGCTGAGGTATTGCTGAGGCTAATGAAGCCCCAAGGAGAGATTGGATCTTGTCACCAGGAAACAGTGGGCTTTCTTCCTAGCCCTCATTACCTACTCTCCTATCCAAAATAAAAAGCAAAAGCCAGTGTAGCACACTGAAACCAGGAGTTTAATTATAGTTCCAGAGTCACCACCTTAGCTGTTGACCTTGAGCAAGTTACTTAACCTCTCTGGGCCTTAGTTTTTCCTCTGCCAGATAGGGCTGTTAATACCATAGGGTTGTTATCGAAGATTGAATCTCTTTCACAGTATGGAATGCTTGAAGTTTAGGTAAAGTGTCTCTGGAGATGAGCTGCCTTCTCTGCTCAGCTACTCCATCTATACCTTGGTGTATACAGAATTGGGGCTCAGAGAAGGTTGACCTTCTTTGTAGGAAGCTTTCCTACAAATTAGGCAATGTGTCTTCTTGGAGGTTTGCCCAGGTGGCTGACCTGCTACCCCCCAAAAACCTAAGCTTCTCAGCCATGCAAAGATCATTGGATGCTGCCCAGAGCAGGTGGCACCAGCCAGAGGGGAGGCTGTCACAAGGCCAATATCTTGGCCAGTCCCTCCATCTCTGGTTTTATCCTGCGCCAGGCAGGGCACAGAGTAGAAGGGGAATCGTGGCCATTTTGGAAATGTGCCTTAACAACTCAGTCTCCAAGACTGTCCCCTAGAGGAGAAGTGTACAGTCCCTTATCATTGAGTTTTTCAGATTTCTCATTTATCCTGCACCTAATCCTCTGAGGAATGACTTGCTGTTTTGCAGATGTAGAAACAGGCTTCAAAGCAGTAAAAAAGTTGAGCTCAACACACACGTCATTGTGTCCACTGTATGCAGAGATGAGTAAGAACTTTGCAAAGCTTTGTCTTGTAGGGAAGATCTTTTCCATAAGGCTACATGTAGTAGTAGAGAGGCGTGGGTGGGCAGTGAGGGGGACCCAGCCCTGGGGAGTTGAGGGGTCACTCTAAGGCACAAAGCTAGTGGATGACAGAGCCAGGCTCTCTGAGTCTTGATGCTTGCAGCATACTACTCACTGCTGCTTAAGGGGGCTCAACCCAGGCAGGCTGACCAGCATGAGGTATTTCTTCCTTTCTCTCCTCTATGAAAACAAAAGAGCAGGAGGCACTGGACTTTGCTTTATGCCCAGGGTAAAGCTGGACCCAGGCATATTAAGTTTCAAGTTGGCAGACTAGGACTTGCAAACAGGTTCTCTTATGACAAGTAGGTTCCTTAGTAGTAAGTAACTTACCCTCGTGGTCTCTGCTGGACACTTTCTGCTGAAGGTTGGCCAGACGAGTGTCCCTTGATCAGGACTTTGAGCCTCCCGCTCCCAGCAGAGCCCGATACTCTGAGGAGGGCTTAGTACATGGTGTCACAACTGCCAGGAAGTTCTAGAAGACCAGTGCTAATGAGCTTTTCAGGAGGGTCAGTGCCATGGTCATTTCTGTAGGCCTCTGTAGTCCTACCTCCTCACTAGTTCTGAGGCCTGGGCTCTGTGGCTTGTTTTACATTCTAGAGCCTTTGGGACATGGGGACAGTCAGGATTTGGCAAACATCTGGATTTTCTCCAGAACTATATTAAGGGAATGGTTCCTTGTTGGAGATGGGAAGTCAAGTCCCTTGGTATAGTGCCTGCAGTAAAGTCAAGCAGATGGATAACACTTGTTAACAGTAGGAAAGGCTGCCTGTAGCCAGTACTGCAGATTTAGGCCATAGAAATGTGCCTTGAGAACCTTTGGAGAATTGGATTTAGCTCTTTGAGGAAGTCCTGTGTTTACATGGGACTGTCTTGCAGCCCAGATCTGCACTTCCCCAGTGTGGAGTGCAAGAATGTAGGAGGGGACCTCGCCCTGGGAATAGGGCCCAGGAGGCCTCTGCTGCTGGCAGATCCCTGCATGGGGAGCCTGGATCATGTCTTCTTGGTAAGGAATCTACCCCAGGTTCTGGCTTGCCCCAGGGTGGTCCAGGGCCCTCTGGTTTGTGTCAAATGTTTAGTCATTGGGAGTGGGGTGCCATGCTCTCAATAAGGGCATGTGATGGGGCTTGGGAAGCTGAGTTTGCTTCCAGAATATCAATAGGAACGATGTTAGCTGGGAAGAGGACGGTCATCTACATTTATTGGTCGGTGAGCAGTTTTAAAAATCATGTGTCTGATGAAAACAGGAATTTGAGTGTCACAGCTGTCTTCAAGATTTTGGATTCCCCCAAATGGAGGTTTTTTAAAGCTTTTATTTTTCAAGTAGACAGATCCTCTTTGTGAACATTGCAGTCAGTGCTGTCAGTGTTTAACTTGGATTCCTTTGCAAGCCAAAGGGTGAGGGACAGGGAGAGAAGGAGGAGGAGGAGGAGATACTTGTCTTGTCACCAAGGTCTGGCCTGAGTCGCTCCAACTGTCTCCAAAGTGACAAAGGTGTACCCTTTCGGTGGCCCTTGAAAAGAAGGGCTCCTCGCTTGTACAGGGGGATTCCTGCTTTGGCTTCTGCCTTAAGGCTCTTCTTTGCCTCATCTCAGGTTTTCCTTGCATGGTTTCAGAACAGGAATGTTATTTACCTCTCAAATAATGGGGGCCACAGCGGCAGTAAGACCTGGGCCATATTTTTCCTCCTTTTCCCCCCAGGAACCTTGGTTGTCTGATTACTCTCCATGCTCACATGCTCTGTGTTTTTTTTTCAGTGGATATGCTGCTGATGAAATCACTCACTGCATACGGCCTCAGGACATCAAGGAGCGAAGAGCAGTCATCATCCTCAGGAAGTAAGTGCCCTGGTCTGGCACCTGCTTGCCTGCCTGTCTGAAGATCTAGGTTTGGGTTGCCTTAGAACTCGGCTCTTTTGTATCAGTGGCATGGCAGCGTAAAACCTGAGAGAAGGAAAAGGCTTGTAAGGTCTGGGGGGTTTTGTGTGTTTTTATTTATTGACTAGAGGCCCGATGCACAAAATTCCTGCAAGAGTAGGCCTTCCTTCCCCCGGCTGCTGGCACCAGCTTCCCTCTGGCACCCGGGACCCGGGCTTCCTCACAGCCCGGCTTTGTCCGGAAGGTCATCTGGAAGGACGTCCAGTCTAATTAGCATATTACACTTTTACAATTATAGATTTTTAGAGAGAGAAACATGCGCTTGTTTTTCCATTTATTTACACATTCATTGGTTGGTTCTTGTATGTGCCCTGCCTTGCGATTGACCTTGGCATATCAGGACGATGCTCCACCAAGCTACCTGGCCAGGGCAGGTCTGTTTTTTTTTAATTCTGTGAGGATAAAGTTGTTGTATCTCTTCTTCATCAGCAAATTAAGTTCTGTGGCTATTTAACTAGTGATTTTAGTTAGGACTGAGCAAAAGCCCATGCTCTCAGTGTTTATGGGAACAGTCTTAAGATAAGATTTGGGGAACACTTTTCCAGAACCTCCTCTTTTCCCCACTTCCTTGGTTCTGATTTGTCATGTGTTTCTGTTGATTATTTTTAGACTGTGCCTTAGCAGCCTGCTTTTAAAATGTCCGTGTTTTCACTTTGGGAAGGAGCAGAGAGTGAGGGAAGGAAACGAAGGTGGGAGGTTAGGCTGCAGTGTTCAGCAGGTGCATAACTTGGGCCTGGCTGTTCCTCTTCTCTGGCCAGGGAGTCAGGAGTGTACTGACCAATACTGCCCAAACTAGCCTGACCTGCAGTTCTTTCTGCTCATGGGGTGAATGGACTGAGCCAAGCAGACACTGGGTCAAGATAAACTTGCCTTTAGAATGGAATCCTGAGGGGCAAGGTAATTGCCCAAGATCAGATAAGACATCAGTGAGCAGAGCAGGACTGGTGCTTAGACCCAAGCTGGTGCAGGATGTCCTTAAAGGTTGCCATCTTTTTTGTTGTTGTCAATCCTCCCGACAATATTTTTTTCCATTGATTTTTAGAGAGAGTGGAAAGAAGTCGGGGGAGGGAGAGAGAAACATTATGTGAGAGAGAGACATCGATTGGTTACCTCCCACATGCACCCCAACCAGGGCCAGGGATTAAACCTGCATCCCAGGTACGTGCCCTTGACTGGGAACCAAACCCATGACCCTTTGGTCCGTGGGCCAATGCTCTAATCACCTAGAAACACCAGCCAGGGCTTTTAAAAAATTTTTTTTAATAATCTTTAGAACAGTTTCAGATTTACAGAAAATGGTGAAAATAGTACTAAGAGGTCCCATGTACCAAGCACCCCATGCCCCCCTATTTGTTAACATATTATGTCAATGTGGTATTTGTATTACAATAAAAAAATTAATATAGATCCAGGATTCTTAATTAAAGTCCATATTTTATTTAGATTTCCTTAGTTTTTTCCTAATGTACTTTTGTTCTAGGATTCCACATTACATTTAGTTGTCATCTCACCTTAGACTACTTGGCAGTGACTGTTTCTCAGATTTGCCTTACATATGATAACATTGATAGTCAGGTATTTTATATAATGTCTTTCAATTGGGATTTGTCTCATGTTTTCCTCATGGTTAGACTGGGGTTATAGGTTTTGAAGAGGAAGACCATGGAGGTATAAAGCACCACTCTCCTCAGTGTTGTGTCCAGGGCACAGGACCTTGATATTGAGCTTGATCACCTGGCTGAGGTGGTGTTAATCAGATTTCTGCATGCTAAAGTTATACTATTTCCCTCTGTCCATACTGTCTCCTTAGGAGGGAGGTCACTGTGTGTAGCACACGCTTAAAGAGTGGGGAGTTAGCTCCTCCTCTGTAAGGGGGAGTAGCCCCACAAAGTACTTGGAATTCTGAACAGGAATTGTTTCTTCTCTCCTACTTGTTTATGTCTTTACTAGAGGCCCGATGCACGAAATTCGTGCAAGGGGCTTGGCCCTCGCAGCCCTGGCTTTGTCCAGAAGGTCATCTGGAAGGACTTTCCGGAAGGACGTCCAGAAGGTTGTTCGGCTGTCCAGTCTAATTAGCATATTACGCTTTTATTATTATAGATTCAATCATTTACTTATTGGTATGGATTCATGGGTAGTTATTTTATGCTCAGCTTGTTCTAGGTTTTGCCTTTAAGTCCTTATTTCTGACTTGCCTTTTTTATTTTTTAACTTCAGTCAATAACTTTGGTATCTTGACCCTTTGGGCCTAGAACTTCAGAATAATGTGATGAAGTCTCTTTGGTGTGGTTCTGCCACTTCATCAAGTCAAAACTGTGAGTCTGTGTTTTATCATATGTAGAATGGAGATGATTTAGACCTATGGTGCAGGTAGAGTACGAGGCATATTTGGGAGCTCCAGACACGGGTCAGCTTGGCAGCTGGCAGCCTCTCTGTTCTAGCCAAAAGAATGTTCCCAGAATTCATCAGAAGAAGGGTTTTTATCTGCCTTTCTACTTTCTTTTCCTGTGGTTCCCAGCACAGGCCAAAACCCAGAATCTGGAAGTGATGGAGTCCAGAGCCTACCCTTTCTGGCCTCTCCAGTCATTTCTTCTCAGTCTATACTTGACACCTTCCAAGTGCAGCCAGGGACAAGTGGTCTGCCCAGAACGAACTACAAAGGAACTCCTAGAGTGATACAGAACCAGAGCAGAACTTTTCAGGTGTTCCCGCCAAGCTTCTCAAAATAGGTTATCTCAGAAATCTTCACTGGAGGTGCAAATGGAGGTGGCCATAGCCAGAGCATCAGCTGTTTCCTGCTTTTTGTAAATTTATTTTTTTTAGTTTTTAAAATATATTTTTATTGATTTCAGAGAGGAGGGGAGAGGGAGAGAGAGAAACATCAATAATGAGAGAGAATCATTGATTGGCTGCCTCCTGCACAGCCCACACTGGGGATAGAGCCCACAACCTGGGCATGTGCCCTGACTGGGAATCGAACCCTGATTCATAGGTCGATCCTCAACTACTGAGCCGCATAGGTCGGGCTGTTTCCTTCTTGAATGGTGTCTCCCATACCTGGCTGCCTGGGATGACTAAGTTAGATACTCCTTGTAGAGCTATTTGTCTATACTTCTTGGAGTTCCTCCAAGAAGCTCTTTAGCCAGCTGGGCCCCTGGCAGTAGTCTGACCTCAGATAATGGCTATTATAGGTGACTGAGGGTCTTTGACCTTCTGACTTGAGTGGTCCCAAGAGCCAGCCAGGTACTAGGCTGGAGGGCAGACACACAGCTTTTGGTGTGAGAGGGCTGAAGAGTGGGAAAGTGCTCCCCAGCTTCCCCAGGCAGCTGAGGCACAGGCATCTCTGTTTATAGAATAAAATTCAAAATCCTTGTTGGTCTCTGCCTATCCATCCATCCAGCCTAATCTCTTATACTCCTCACTTATGTTACAGTGCCTGCTTTTCCTAGTATGGTCCTTGGACTTCTGTCCTGGGCTCTTACAACAGTGTGGTCTCTGTTGGGAATGCTTTCCCATATAACACGTTCAGCTTCTGACCTACACCCTACCCTCCAAATGGTCCACATTCACACACTGAACGTTGGTTAACCTAGCCATCCTTCAAGGCTCAGATGTTGGTTGTTTTGACATGCAGGGAGCATTATATACACACATGTGGCCCTCTTATACCCTTCCTGCTTAAATTGTCACAGCCAGTACACTTAGCATTGTGAATTTCCAAATCTGCTTTCTGTAGGGACAGGGAGAGCCTTATCCATCTGGGGCTCAGCATGAGGCCTGGCTCAGAGGAAGACAGTTCAGGCTGAAGAGGAGCAGCTCCAGAGTAGCTGTAGGGGCTTGTCTTGGAAAAGGACAAGATGAAAAGGGGAGCATCCTGGCCCAGGCATTTCCCAGACATCAGGGATATGGCCTTAGTGGGGCACCTGGCTAACTTGATGTCTTTTGTAAAGTCATATTTAAATGAGCAGAATTTGGGCATTGAGCTGGCCCTACTGATAGGCAGAGGGGTATAGCCAGTCTGTCTCCCCACTAAGTTCAGGAAAAGATTACACAGACTGCTGAGCAAAGGCCTAGGGCAGTGGTTCTCAACCTTCCTAATGCCTCGACCCTTTAATACAGTTCCTCATGTTGTGGTGACCCCCAACCATAAAATTATTTTCGTTGCTACTTCATAACTGTAATTTTGCTACTGTTATGAATGAATCGTAATGTAAATATCTGATATGCAGGATGTATTTTCATTGTTACAAATTGAACATAAAGCATAGTGATTAATCACAAAAACAATATGTAATTATAGATGTGTTTTCTGATGGTCTTAGGCGACCCCTGTGAAAGGGTCGTTCGACCCCCAAAGGGGTCGCGACCCACAGGTTGAGAACCGCTGACCTAGGGCCTCTGTCACTGGCTCAGGTCAGTCAGCTGGAATGGTCTTTCTTAGGGCCTTATGGGGAGGAAATGGAGGGGTGGCTGCCAAGTGCTTTCTGGCTCAACAAAATGCAGCTCCTTTGAATATGGGTGATGCTGAGTCATCATGCACGTGGTGCCATCATTTCTCACAGGGAGGACTGGGATGTTGGGGTGACCTGAGAGCTTCTGTAGGAGGAATCTTTGGGCTGCAGCTTAGCTTTATAATACTAGTATGTTTGGGGGCACTACCAGTAAATGGCTGAGTGAGGCCTAGAACCTGGCTCTCCTGGTGCTGAGTCTTGTGGTCCCTTGGTGGATGGCACAGTGGCACACCCCACGTACGCCCTGCTCCTGCCCTAGTGTGTCACTGAGGTGTATGCTATGATTTTAAGAAACAAACTCACATACAGAAGGGCTTTCTTGCTTCTGCTATGCAAGTAGAGAGCTGATTGATGAGAGTGTTTTACGTGAGAAGGGGGCTGCTCTACAGA